CAACATAATGACGTCATGTGTTTTCCAACCCAGCCATCAGCCCCCCTCGCTTGAAACAGCTTCCAGCGCGCCTGGGCTAATAGCATTTAACAATTACAATTGGGATTAGCAATTGTTTACTGAATTTACTTGCAGTGTTTAGATGTTCAAACTTGTTTTGGACTGGAGTTTATCTAACCACTAATAAATGTTAATAATTTTGATTTACAACTGCACTTGGCAACTACAAAAAGCACAATAAATACCACTTTATTATAAAGCCATTAATCCAGAAGGGATGATTGGAGTGCTAACTTAACAGATCACTCTCATTAGAATAAGCACAGACTCATATCTACGTTTGCTGAAATGTATTAAACATAATAGTTTCTTAGGAGCAGCTACTGTCTTGTCCAAAAACTATTTACCTAACTTAAACACTCAGAATACAAACAAAGAAAGAAAATGTACATTGTGTGAGTTGAATCAACTAAAGTACTGTGTTCCTGTTATTTCCTGTTTCTTTATTATTCCTGTTACGCCTGTCACCTTTTCTTAGTATTTGTTTTCATGCTGTGTTGATTTTGGCTGCTTTCTAGTTTCTATGGTTCCTAGATTTATGTGTAATTTTTATTATTCCCTTTCCCTTAGGCCTCTCAAAATCCCTCTTCCTTACAACTGACCTTCACGCTTTTAACTCACCCGTGAAGCATTCCAGTAATCACTTTTCCACAGTATTAAGGCACCTAATTTTATGTAATTACCGCTGGTTCTGAACACGATTTCATTTCTACGTCAGTTCCTTCTTTTTTTGTCTGCTATTCATTATATGTCATTACTGTAATTACTCTGCCTCCTGTCTACATTCAGGTCCTCCTAACAGCGCCAAATGACATGTGCCAGTATTGCTAAATGTGAACAAACATGAGACAAGCTATCATCCAGCTGATGTTGATAGATGGCTAAACTTCTACATTCTGCTCAATGGCCCTTATTCTACCCCATAGGGCAGCTGTGGCTGGTCAAGGAGGAGTAACCGACTTGCAGTTGAGAGGTTGCACATTTGTTTCCAGCTTTCTGCATTTCTGCCAAACGTGGTGTTTGTGTGCCATGGTAAATGGCAAGTAGTGGGAAATCGGTTTTTGCTGTTCAGTGAAACGGAAGCAAGATTTAGAGGAATTTTCTGTTTGCTCTTAAACAGAATGCCTAAAAGTTAACATGTTAGCTCTTGTAATTTATGCAATAAAAAAGGGTTAAGAAAATAAATATTGCTTTGGGAATGGAAGCATTGTAGATTACTTTTCTTTATTATATATGTAGATCACTGCCTAGGCTATAGAAGATTAATCTTTGTGTGTAAAGCTAATTGCTCATCAATGCTAACATGTTCTGTGCATATATTCCTCTGTGTAAAATATCTCAGCGCAGTCCTGATGAGTGGTATTCATGAAACCACTTTTAAATCAGAGCCCATGGATGCTCCTTAATATAGCTCCAACCCCACAGCCATTCTATACTGAGTAAGTGTATGTGTGACATTCAGGGCGAGTTTATTCACCCACCAAGCCTTATCCTAGTAGACAGCTGGAACACAGCAGAGTACACACAGACGCAGAGAAAAAGTGTGCCATCAGACACAGTGTCAACACAGACCCTGTACTGTCTCACAAGCACACAAACACACACACACACACAAAACAACACGATAAACAAGCAGGGATTTTTTTACATGC